ATTGATCGATTAAAGTTTGACGAGTGTTATAATCTTCCACAAATTCTTCCCCTATTTAACAAATTTAATCATTTTCGAGTAGGAAATCTCGTCTTGTAATTGGAACACGATAAATGATTTCTGATGTTCTTCGATCGATTAAAGTTTGACAAGTGTTAATCTTCCACAAATTCTTCCCCTATTTAACAAATTTAATCATTTCCGAGTAGCAAATCTCGTGGAGTCTTATAATTGGAACACGATAAATGATTTCTGATGTTCTCCGAGAGAACTGTAACGACGCAGAAGTTGGCTGAGTCAATTTACGATAGCCTTTGTGCTTACAGAAGCATCTCTCCCTCTCCCTCTCTCTCTGTTCTCGCACACACACCCCCAAAACAGCTGCGTGTACCGAGAGGAAGGTTGCCCTACGGTGTGTCTCGCAACGTGATACAATGGGAGGTTATAAAACGATAGCGTTCGCAGGATACCGCGAGCACACGAACAGGAGACGTACGAAACATATGCAAAACGCAGATGGCCGCTGGAACCATATCGATTCCCATTATTTTTTCCTAAGCCGGCGTTCGGATGCTCGCAATTGTTCTCGGCTTGACCTAGAGCCGGCCGAGATCCGTCGCGATAAAGCCATTACACGCGAGATGAGTCGATTAAGATTGGGTAATCAGGAATTCAAGGGTAACCAGTAATTTGCGGCGGCGGTATCCTGTTCCGGAGGCGTCGGTGTTGCTCCTCTTGTTAGAGGCTCGCCTCGGATTGCGAGAAACGTGAGTTCACGGCAACGACGAGTTAACCTCAGTCCCGTTTAACCCTTTGCACTCGGAAGTTTTTCATTGGAAATATTTGAACATCTTCCGATGAGATAGAGATGATACTTTGTGGAACTAACTCGACGAGAAATCACACTTAACACTTCGAATTCGGGTGACATTATTTCTTACAGAAACTTGGACATTAATTTTTTTCATGACGTACCGAACAAACAGAATTTTGTTGGATACATGGGATATAAGAAAGAGTGGAACAATTATTAAGAAGAATTTTAATTTCTCAGTTTCTGGTTAATGAAAAATGTTTCGAGTACACGGTAGTTTTCATCGGTGTTTACGCGGCAAACTGTTAAATTGAGGGACATGCTATTTTGTTTGAATATCTCTGAAATTGATGCATTATACGAAGTTTAATATTAAGTATCAAATTTTATAGTTTTAGTATGAAATCAATTAGCAAAGGATTAATCGCCGAACACCGCAATTTCACTCGAATAATTAATTGCCAATAACATCCGTGGATTCGACCGGATGAAATGATGATCAGTCAAAATCCAAACTGATCTCTATCTCCATATTTATGAAACAAATTAATATAATTGTTAATTACATGCTTAATTCTAATTCACTGTCTTAATTAAACAAAAATTGATTCATTGCATTATAAAAACAATAAAGCAATTACAAGACAGTAAAGTGATCACTAAAATCTCAGAGACATTCGCAAAAGTAGAGTTTCGAAGGTCACCGGCAAGGTCATGGAAGACCAGATTCGCCGTACACATACTAATGAGATACTTTATGCAAAGTGGTAACGTGATTCTCTTGAAATTGATCGTTCGCTAATTTTCATCTCGAAACAGACGACATTAACCCTTTGCGGTCCGAAGTGCTCTTGGTTTCTCACTTTGAGGTTCACGTCGACGATAGTTCATTCAATTACAGCTTGATATTACGTTCTATTTATTTACTCAAGAATATTTGAGAATCATTGAAATGTTACCTTTAAATGGTACAATTGTGATACAAATAAATATAGAAAAAATTGTTAAAACAGTCACTCAGTCACTTGATTTCATATAGTAAAACGATAAAATTTGATATTCAATATTCAACTGTATATAATGCATCGGTGTGTGAAATACTGGGATAAAAAGCTCTATTTCTGAATTCACTTGCAATTTTTCTTCGAGTTAACACTAAAACTATCGAGCACAATTGACTTTTGAAAATTTCGCTATAGAAACTCCAAGGCTGCATCTGTTCAGACTTTAATTGATGTACAATTCAATTTCCGTAGTGCTAATTGAATTCTTTTACTAATTCCTCGGAGAAACATTTGTCACCCTTCTAATAATTGCAAGAGGAAGACATCAGGCATGGGTCATTTAGTGTTAATTTAAAAAAATATCGTCTGTGTCTAGTTAGAAAATGTTAAAATACTTCTAGTGAAAAACTTCCGAGTGCAAAGGGTTAAATTACTTCCATAGCTTTTCAATATAACGGAAGAAAAACTTCTGATTGAAAAATTCATGAATGCGCTCGTTCCGCTTGACGAGCGGCGCCGCGCTCGTTGGAAATGAAGAACGCACGCGGTTCGTCTCGCTAGAGTGACGCGGACTGCGTCTTTACGACGGCCGCTGGCGGAACAAAAGGGTTAAATGAGCGCCGTTTGCCGAACGATCGCACGGCACGGCCGCGTGCAACGGAAACGCGTTCGTAGGTTGGCTGAAACAGTAAACACAACAAGTGGCCAGGACCGTTGCGCGCGATTTATGTGTGCGCGACCGCGTGAGCGCGCGCGCGCGACGTATGTGTAGCAAGTGCCACGGCACCGCACCGTATACTTACGTGCTTGCTTACACGCGTCTTTCATCTCGAGTTAACCGGCTATCGCAGCCAAGTTGCGTCATCCTCGCGAACCTAGACGCCACGGCGGTTGGAATGTAAATACGTTAGACTGCGGACCGTTCAAATTACGCCAAATGGAGCGTTTTTAATGGAGGAATAATAGCAGTTGCAATAAACTGCAGTGACTGTGATAATTTTATTCGTGCAGTATAGATTTCTAAGATTTTATATTGATCAAATCAGTTTCGCATTCAAATTACGCCAAATGGAGCGTTTTTAATGGAGGAATAATAGCAGTTGCAATAAACTGCAGTGACTGTATTAATTTTATTCGTGTAATATCGATTTCTAAGGATTTATATTGATCAAATCAGTTTCGCATTACTGGTTACATTGATAGAACAAGTTCTCCAGAGACTCATCATTAACCCCTTGCCGTACAATGGCGAGTACAACTCGTGATGAAGATTTCTAGACCAATTTTACAACAACCAATGTTGTTCATTACACACGGATCAAAGCAAACAACTATTTTGCTGTTATCAATGTATCATCTCCAAATGAAATTTCTACTGCAAGTAGAATGGAAAATTTTGTTGCATTTCTTCCAAATTGTCGATAGTACAACATTACCCGAGCTTAGAACGAAAGTGGATAGTACCGCAAGGGGTTAATCACTTGCTATATAATTTTAAATAAAATGTAAATCAATATTAACAATTCTACTTACTACTAACGAGCTTCTGACAAGAAGAAAAATACCGAAATTGAACGTTCTATGAACATTTTTAACACCATGGTACTTTTTCTGAATCAAAATGCTAGATCAAGGGGTTGAATAGAAATCCTCCGACCGCCCATGATAATTTCCCGTGAATCGTGCGCGGAGATTTTTATTTCGCCGAAAGCCTGCGCCGGACAATGAGCCAATAAAAGCGACTAGGGGGTGAGAGCGAACGTCGACGGTCCGCGGAGGAAGTGGACAGGAAGTCCTTGAAAACGAAGACGGGGCGAGCCGCGCCTTGTGACCGCAAAAACTGACACTCGGCTCGTCTGCGGTCAAGATTGCCTCTCGGTCCCGGCAAGGGTGGAGAACAAAGGGGTGGCGATCGTTCCCCCGACAAAGAGGAGGAAGAGACGCCGCGGCGCAGGATGGATGGTCAGCCATCCGTGATTTCCCGTCTCTTAGCCTTTGTACCCGTCGAAAAGAAAGAAAATTAGCGAAATAGCTGTATCCGTTACGGTCTCGCAGGTTCGATCTTCATGCGAATTTCGGTGGTACCCCGGCGATAATAGATTTTCAGGATCGGCAGGAGAAACCATCGGACAAATCACGAACTCGAGAACGTCGGGTTACACGCTGCTGGTCGACTGTGCGGTTTATCTATTGTCTACTCGAAATGCCACGACCCCGTCGCGAACAAGGCATTAATTATAGAATATCGATAATGAGCTAGTTATTTGAAGCTACTGGTAAAAGTCTTGGCTTCCTGATATTCGAAACTGGGTTAGTTTATCGAGTGTTCTGTATCCTCGTAACTCGAAGAATGAAATATGAAGGAAACTCGATCGACGGAACTCGCGGCGACGAACAGGTTAACCGTCTAAAAGTCTATCGGTTCGTAGAATCCAATTGACTTTATTCATCTATCTCCCTTTCAATTATTTATTTTTATTACTTGCTTAGAAATGGAAAAACGATCTGTTTACAATCTTTTCATATAAAAATAGGAAAGCGTCGTTCAGTTTCATTGTCCGAAAGTGCCACTCTATCGGTTCGTAGAATCCAATTGACTTTATTGATCTATCTCCCTTTTAATTATTTTCAATCTTTATGTAAAAATAGAAGGAAGTTTAGCTCAACACGTTAAGCACCACGGAAATGACCGTTTCTCCATAGAGTGATTCTTTTGCAGCAAAAGAAAGCAGGGACGATTATCAATTATCTAGCGTTGCAATCCTTACATTACAGTGTTATCAACTCAGTTACGTTATTAACCCTTTGCACTCGGGAGGTGACTCTCAGTCACCTGATTTGATACGGTAAAACTATAGAATCTGATATTTAATGTTGAACTTTGTATAATGCCTTGACACGTGAAATATTAGAATAAATTAGCTTTGTTCCTCAATGTACTGGCGATTTTTCTCAGAGTTAATCTCAAAGAACATAGTCTTCGCCTCGTAAATGTTAAATATTTCTAGTAAGAAACTTCCGAGTGCAAAGGGTCAACCATTTTCAGTTAACCATGTTACGGTAGTTTCCAAGCAATCCGGAAACGTCGGTGATCGGTGGCTGGCACGGCGCTTAACGCGTTAAGATCGGCGTACTGCGATTCCAGGTAGAGAGAAACAATGTTCTCTTTGTATTGGTTACAGATCGCGGTCTGGGTACGATTCTAGTAGCGGTGGAGAGTCCGACAACGAGTACAGTGGCAGCGTCTGTCGTAGTGCCGCTAATCAGTCGCAGAACCCGGCCGGCACGAACGCGAACACGCACGCGCATGGGAAACACATAAACAAAGGAAGGTGGACCAAGTTGGAGGTAACTTTCGCCAACGATTCAAGAAACACGATATTCTCGTCCCTCTGGAAACACATTCGATTCGGAACATATTCTAGCCGTTCGCGGACGAAGATTCTTCGAAATGTACTGAACCTTCGAAAGATGAAGCTAAATTATATATCGATTCTTTAATTAGTAGAAGAAAACGGAAGCGCGCTGATCTCTTGCTGTTCCAGTAATTCAATCGATTGTTCGCGACTTAGTCTTCCAAACGTGAGCATTTCATCTCGCCGAAATGACGTTTGCTCGCAAACGGTTAAGTTTTGTATAATGCATTAATACGCGAAATGTTTCTTAATTGACGTACGTCTTCTCACTAGTTCGTTTCAAATAGTGTCTGTCTCATCGGAAAGTCTCAAATATTTCCAGCTTCCGAGTGCAAAGGGTTTAATTTCCAAAATTAGATTAAATTACATTGAATTCAAGCCATCGCTGACTTTTAATATATTTTCATATTATTTCTTTACGTTTCTGTTTCGTGTTCCATTGTTCTTCGACGCGTGTCTCGCAAGAGATGTTTCCTTGCAAAAATTCCGCGTGTACCACAAATGGTACGCGGAACTTGTCGAAGGAGAAATTATAGGTATCATAGATAAAATGGCATCTGTTTCCTTCTTGCATCGGATATCTTCACTACGGAGACTAGACGTCTCCGAGTTGTTACACGGTGGCAACAGATGTTATTTAGAACGAAATATGTATGCACAGAGGGTGCCATTTTGAAGATTAATACCTCGCGACGGAAAAAGACCGATAAGCTGACCTCGTTCGGAAGCAGGTGCTTCCGAGTGGAATAAAGATCGCCGAAACTCGATCGATAAATCATGAGGAGAGTCCAACGCCGCTCGAAATTCAGGTTACCAATTTGCTCCTTTTCATGTGTCAAAACTTCGGAGTGTTTAATTAATACCCGGCAATCAGTAACCGCTAACGCCGTTCAATATTTTACCCGACCGTTGCGGATTTCGTTATAAATGATCCCGATAACATATTTTCCTCGATACGCACGCGTGGATCACTCGAAAATGTCACCAATACGATGAAACATTGAAATAGAAGATTTCCTATTTCTCGTTGCGCTTCGGAACACCAGTTTTAACCCTTAGCACTCCACATGGTTTTGTAATTTTTATGGTATCTCCAGTGAAAATGAAAAATCCTGTAACATTCCTTCGATATTTTATTTTCCTTCTCAGTACGAAATTTGGATGTGTGGAGAATCTAATAATTAGGGTAGTTTCTTTGATTCGTTAACCCTTTGCACTCGAGAGGTGACTCTCAGTCATTTGATTTGATACAGCAAAACTATCGAGTTAAATATTTAGTACTTTAAATGAAACTTTGTATTGTGAAATATTTAAGTAAAGTATCTTTGTTGCTTAATTTACCTGTGAATTATCGTTAGCTAAATTATATATCAATTGTTTAATCAATAGAAAAAGAGAAAACTACGTGCTGATCTCTCGCTGTTACCAATTAGATCATTCGTCCAGTCTTCCAAATCTGAACTTTTCATCTCACCGAAACGCCGACATCCGTCCGCAAAAAGTTAAAATATTCAATATCACAACTGGTGCGGAGTCTAGAGTTCAAAGGGTCAAAAGATAGGGCGGAGAAAATTCATGATTCTAATAGCATAAAACTTGGAAACTAATTTGCGTAACGTTTAATTCCCGTGTCTTCGAAACGGCAAGTAAAAAGTTACACCTACCCCGGTAGCAATCGGAAGTAACAAACGGCAAGGGGTTAACGAGGCCGAAGCGGAATTTCGAGCGACATTTCTCGACGAAGAACAATGGCTCCCCAAGGCGCGCGGGCCGTGGATCGGTCACATTCGTGAAATTCGATTCGCAATCGCGTCGGTACGGCAAGAATGGCGACGCACGGGATCGATACGCTCCTATGATGTTTCCCACGGGAAACCATACGGCGCGGCCTCCGCTCTACGGCGGCATATGACTATGGGGTGGTCGAGGGCATCTGCCTGCGGACTCGTAACTCGTTGTGGAAGCTACGAAGGGTGGACCTCTTTTTATTATTTCTCTCTCTCTCTCTCTTTTTTTTTCGTTGGCCCATGCTCATTGTATCCCTCCCCTCGCGTTGCGTCCGATCAAAGTCACGGCACGGTGACGCGATCGCGTGTACGCTAGGGAATTTTCATGCCGAGATAAAGGGAAGAACAATGGGACGACGCCGCCGCCACCGCCGCGATCCTTTTCGTCCATATCGGCGATCGGGGATTTTCGGCCGTCGAATAACAAATGGCTGCCACGCGAAATTTTAATGCATTGTCCGCCGCGACTCTTTTCAAGTGTAAGCGCTTTCGAAGCCTCGAATACTCGCCGCTGCGAGGACGCCGACGAAAGTGGCCACTTAGGCGAACAAAAGCGACTTCCTCGCGGTGATTAAACTGGCCCGGTTCGAACGGATTTTGGAAATTCTGCGATTTCCACTGTTCCGTTGATTCTCGAGCTGCTGGACCGGTGGAAATCACCGGTTTCGTGATCATTGTTTCGCCGTTATTAACCCTTTGCACTCGGGAAATATTCATTATTTTCTGATGAAATGTCAATGATACTTTTTGCAATTAGCATGAAGAAGTACCTTGCATAAATTAAGCGACAGAACTATTTCGATGTTCCATATGTTCGTAGATTATATAAAATTTAATAATGAACTTTTAATTTTACAATGTTCTTGAGTGCAAAGGGTTAATATAAGGGTGATTAAGAAGTGAATGAAAATTGATCGATTAACCCTTCGCGGACGAAGATTCTTCGAAACGTGAAGCTAAATTATATATCAGTTGCTTAATTAATAGAAGAGAAACTACGTGCTGATCGCTTGTTTAACTAATTAGATCATTTGTCCGTAACTTAGTCTTCCAAATCGGAATTAATCTAGAAATTGTGTCTCTATTTGACAAATCTAATCATTTCCGAGTAGGAAATCTGGAAGGCGCCTCTCGAGTGCAAAGGGTTATATCTATAATTAGCTATAATTTCATCATTTCTGTCCGTCGTCCAAACATTTTCTAGACAATACTAGTATTTCATAATTCAAGTCAATTGTTGCAGGCTCACAGATTTTACCATTGTTTCCGTAATTGTTCCAGGATGCCTTATTGAAGCAGTTAGTGAGCAACGCGGAGCAACGGGGCACGGTTCTACGATGGGACACCATAGCCGATCACTTCACGGACCGGAGCGACGTCCAGTGCCAGCAAAGATGGGCAAAGGTCGTGAATCCGGAGCTGGTCAAGGGACCGTGGACGAAGGAGGTACATACCTGAATTCTGTTGCACCCTCCCTTGCATCGAAGCTCTTCCCGGCCATTGTCTCTCGTACCCCGTGAAACCTCCATTGAAATCCCCGCCACTTAAGGGTAACCGATCCGCCATTTTCCCTCTGTAGTGGATGGACTATAGAGCTAGACTGCGAGAGCTACCAAAAAGGGAATCGAATCGAACGCGAGAAACACAATAGCCATCGCTGCGCTCTAATGATACCGCATTGTTCCGATAATTACGACAATTAATCATTCTGTCGGAGTACAAATGATCGGACGAAAGTGGGACAAGGTAGAGGGACTTCGGTACATCGGAAATATTTTATAACCTTCTGTACAAATATATAAATAACTGTTGTCCGATCAATCATTCCAAACGTAATTCTTTTTGTCGTTTAATTGCTGATCCTACGTTAATCCAATATTTTAGATATGTGTAAGAAATCCAAAGTGCAATTACAAAATTGAATTTCTTATTCTTTTTGGTAAGTTAGAAATTTCGGTTTGATGTTTCAGAATGTATCTGAAATTTCGCCTGTAAGTTGATTATTTTATATTTAACACGTTGAATGCTATGGGGGTCGCCGGTGACAATCGAATTACTGTAGTTCATTCAATTGAACGATTATTCGAAAACATTTCTATGTTATAAATATTGCTAATAAATACGGTGTCATTCAGCTAGATGAACTCGCAACAATAATGCAATTCAATTAAGTGATTTAATATTAATTTCTCCATTCCAAGTATTTTATAGAATACCCTAATAATGATAATAATAAATGACCAGCTAATATATTTGCTGATAATCGAATTGCTAAAGTTCATGGTCGAATAAAATTTCTAATAGATTCAATTAAAGCTATAAATCTTATCAATATCGAGGGTGTATATATTGGAACAAATAAATGATCGGTTCGAAATAAATTCGGTCCCGGCCATTTGTTGCTCCATTCAATTAAACGATTACTCGACAACATTTCTATATTATATTGCTAATAAATACGTTGCCATTCAGCTAGATGAACTGGCAACAATAATGCAATTCAATTAAATGATTTAATATTATTCTATAGAAGATCCTAATAATGATAATAATAAATGACCAGCAATATTTGCTGATAATCGAATTGCTAAAGTTCATGGTCGAATAAAATTTCTAATAGATTCAATTAAAGCTATAAATCTTATCAATATCGAGGGTGTATTTATCGGAACAAATAAATGATCGGTTCGAAATAAATTCGGTCCCGGCGATTTGTTGCTCGGATCCACCGAAGAGGTTCCCATGCGCCAGCCGCGTTTCTACCTTCTCATCGTTACCTCCTCGAATAAAAGTCCGACTCCCCGATTCGGATGCCTGTACGCCGAATAACGATCGTCCGCGTCGAAACCCGTTCTCACGGGTACTGGAACACCCAGTCGGGTGGTTGATTTCTCGCGTCGGTGACAGAAAGTTGCCGAAGAACCGTTACACCCCCTTTCTCGAAAAAACGTCTGTTCCGCCGGCGCGGCCGAACGCGTCCGGGTACGGCGGCCGCGCGACATAGGTGGGGGGTAAATGCAAATCGGAGCAAGAGGCGGTTAACGCAATGCAGCAAAACCTAATTTATCCGAGCCGATTTCGTCACGGTAACCGGTTCACCGAACTTATTACCGGGCTCTCGTTATCCGAACCTTGACGCGGTCTCATTTACGCGACCTCGTACTTTCGTCCTGTATCCAACCGCAGCAACCACCCGAGGAAACGCGCGTCGACGACGAAAAAGTCGGTTCCAGTTACACGAAGCGGCGACGAACGCCGAGCGGAAGAATGGGGAGATCTTCCACTTTTCACTTAGCGACGTATCTTTTATTCTGTTCACCTTTTCTTTTGTTTTTTAGTAAATGTTGAAGTAAATAGAAATAAATAATTAAGAGGAAGACAGATAAAGTTAACCCATTGACGAACGTCGACATTTCGACGAGATGAAACGTTCGTATTTAGTTCGAATGATTTAATTACTCACTATTTTCTTACTATTACTATTTACTTATTATTATTATTATTATTTATTATTTCTTACTTACTATTTACTTACTATTTTCTATTAATTAAGCAATTGATATATAATTTATCTTTATCTCTCGGAGGTTTTGTGCGTTTCAAAGGATCTTCGTCCGCAAAGGGTTAATTTCATTCTACGAACCGATAGAGTGGCACTGAGACGGTTAAACGATCCAGTTTTTCGAATCCCTTTTTCTCTCGTAGCTGTATACGAACAGGGGATGGAAATAAGTAAATTACTATTACTGAAATCATTCATCCAAGACGATCACAGCCTGAAATAGTTCAACACTGAAATTCACTCAAGAATTCCAATATCGATTCTTTTTTCTTCACTCTGGAACAAGTGGCAATCGATTCTTGAGATTCTCGCATCAACGCAACCTCTACCTTCGAACCATCTGACTGTAACATGCCCTACGCGCCAACCACCCTCCGCGTAACGGTTCCGCGCAGCGTATACAGGTCGCTCGACGGCTAGACTGAAGAATAACCGAAGAATTTCTATATAACTTCATCTTTCGAAGGTTCTGTATATTTCGAAGAATCTTCCTCCGTAAAGGGTTAACCCTTAGCAGTCCTATGTCGAGTCAGACTCGACATTCTATTTAACCCTTTGCACTCGGAAGTTTCTTGCTAGAAATATTTAACACTTTTTGACGAGGCAAAGACGATATTCTTTGAGATTAACTCGGAGAGAAATCGCCAGTATATTGAGGAACAGAGCTATTTTATTCTATTTCATGTATCAAGGCATTATACATAGTTTAACGTTAAATATCAGGTTCTATAGTTTTACTGTATCAAATCAGGTGGTGACTGAGAGTCACCTCTCGAGTGCAAAGGGTTAACATTACATATAACACTCTATAACACTAGGTTTACGGGCATTTATTGTAGTTTATTCTATTGTTCCTTGGGAAGTTGATATTCGTTCATTTAGATTTTGGAAATTGTAGTAAGTGATAATTACGTTACATCGAATCAAACGCTAACTCTAGAGTCACAGTGAACCTAACCAAGACCTAACCAAATAATGTTTACAAAATTCAATCTGCATTCCGTAAATCTAGTGATAATTACGTTACATCGAATCAGACACTAACTCACAGTCACAGTAAACCTAATCAAAACTTAACCAAATAATGTTTACAAAATTCAATCTACATCAACTTGACGCGTTCCGTGAACCCAGTGATAGTTACATCGAATCGAACGGCAACTCGCGAACGAACACCGCGACGCAAACCTACCCGCAGCGAACGAACCCCTCCGCCCGTGCCGTTCCGCTATACGCCGAGGCATCCCCCGACAGTAAACTAACTTCCGAATCACCCTGTATATTCGGCCGGTCGGTACTGCACGCCTACACGTTGGGCCGGGGCAGAAAAGGAACGGAGCGAAAACGCTCGCCACGGTCGCCTCGGTGGGGTATGCAACAAGAAAAGAAAGGAGGGAGGAGAGAAGCATGGAGCCCGCGGAGAGATGCTGCGTCGTCGTCGTCGTCGCCGTGCCAATGCACTTGGCAACAGCCAAGGGCAAAGTAAGCCGCCCGGGCCCGTGTGTACTCGAACGCGTGTACACG